ATTTTCAAATATTAGTGAAGCTTAATTTATTGCTTGCCTAATTTATTGCCTGCATCAAAACAAACCAGAAGAAAATAGGTCAGCGTAAAGAAGCTACTGAAAATTACTTCAATGGCAAAACATTCTGAAAAAGAATACAAAAAAATATATTTAAAGATGTTGTATATCTAAAAATAATCAATTTACTTGCTCTAGCAAATTTATTCAGCTCATAGAATGTACTTGGAAATAGACTTCTGTTTTTAAAGACAGCTTGCAAATTTGCAAGATTTGTAAATCATATCAACGTGTTTGCCAATGTGCTTTTGAAAATTGTTTAAACAAGTACTCAGTTAACATGCATAGTATAATATGTTAAAGGCAAGAGCTGTACAGTTCTGTACAGTGAGAAATTTGTTGGTACAGGACATAAACAAAAGGAAAACTAAGTAGATGTTCACGCTGTATTTTCAGTGCTGCACTTAAAAAAATTAACTGATATCCTTACAGACCTGGGTAGTAGGTTAATAGCTAAATCTGAAATACTGCGTAAAAATACAGAAGAATCTTATTTGTTTAGGTGCAAATATAGTTAAAATTCAGATTGAATTATGGTTAACTCATTGCTCTGGATTTAACTGTTGTTCTGATCACTGTTTAATAGTAGCAGCCCATGCTGCAAGGCCAGTTGATGAATTATAAATTGCCTATGCATAGAAGTGTAAGTGGAGAGAAACTATTCAGATCTGTTGCTGTCAATAGTACTTCTGTAAACCCACACATTTACATAATTAATTTCCAGTGTGAACTAGTGTTCTCAGTTTAAGACCTGCTTATATAAACCTCTTTCCTTGCAAACAGGAGTTGCAACAATGGTAGGGCAATGGAGCAAGGACTTTTCCTGTGCTTGAATAATTTGCAGGTCCTTTCACCTTTTGATGTCCACTTCTGCTTCACTTAAAAAAAGAGATATTTTGTTATCTTATCTTTTGATTGACAGTAAATCACTGTTATGAAATTTTATGACCTACTGACCTTTAGTATTGAAAAATTGGTTTATTTACAACAACAATCACTATCTAAAAGAATAGCGTAAAACAGTTTGACATTTAGTACTTCTGTAATTACCTTATGTCATGTGTCAGCACTGGATATCTGTAGTTTGGATCACTTATCTACTATCTGGTTTATATAAAGGCCTTCAGGGTCTTTATCAAAATGTGTATATGAACTTTTCACTCTGTGAAGTAAAAACCTGGGTCAATTATATCTATTTTCTGTGACCTTCTTAACTTTTCACACCCACTCTGTCAGAGAGTTGTTATAGATTGTAATACTTGCCTGCAGTATCAATTGGAGAATGATTCCTAGCTTCGTTAATGTTGTCAGAGGTGTGGCTGATACATAAACTAAGTATCTTCTTGACAAATGGCATTACCTCCCTCAAATTAATTCTGCTTCACTGTTGTTAATCTTATTATCTGTTCAGTTAATCAATAGCTGTCATTCAAAAGAGTGTACCAGTACTACACAGGGGACGGGTAGAACAGACAGTAGTATGGTTTGGGCAGTAGGCAAGAATTTAGTTTCTGATCATCTGCTTGGGTGACAACTCAGCAAAAATTGTGCTTTGTTTTGACACATGAACAAGCAACTTAGGTGGCAACAAGCTACCCCCATAGAGATTTCCTGTAGTATTTCTGCACGTCCTTGAACTTCAGCACCCTCTGTCTAGTAGATTGAGTTTTAGTTTAGAGCTCAGATTTTTATGGTTCCTGTTTAATGACAAGATCCAACTACGAGCTTTGCCATGGTGGTAAAGGAGACCGTCTCTGCAGAACCAGTTGCAAGATCAGGGCCTCAACATTTTGAATGCAGTTAAAATAGTTGAGTATAAATGCATTAAGCCCAAGATAACTGCGCAAGAAGTAACCTTAATTGATATCAACTGGAGATAAAATGTTTTTTCTGTTTTACAGCATTTATAGAACTTCAGTGTTCTTAGTATGTGTCAGTCTTAATGTTCTTAAGGAGCTATATATGTATTTTACAGTTAAATATGTAAATATCTTGAAGTATAAAAATTCAGTAAATATAACTGTCACTGCAAAAAACGAGGATTATTTTCAGACTCAAAACACAATAAAATAAACCCCACAAAAATTAATTCAATGGAGCATGGTACAACTTTACAGTGTATGGGAATAAATTTACAATGTATAATTTTCATGCCAGAATTCTTGAGTTATCAGATAATGTATTTCCTTTCAATGATTATTCTGCAAGCCATATTTAGGCCTTCCTTACAATAGAAGCTTCACTGTATTTCAATAAGAGTGCTCTTGTGTGTTGTTCACCAATCTACAAAATAGTTTTCCTATTTAGATTGGGGAAGTTAGAATAAGGAAAAGAATTTCCTTCATTCAGGTGTTTGGCAAAAATATTTTGAGTCATCGAAGTCTGAAGAGAAAGAAAGTAGCATTGAAGAGAAAGAAGCAACAGTAAATAGTAGCCTAGAACTTCAGATTTATGATAATTGAACAACTTGTTATTTGTGTTAGCTGAAAATATTCTTAAACCAGTATTATCATATGAATTATTATGCACTGAGTAGATTTATAAAAGCATGCCTGTATTTCTACTTCTTAAAATCATAAGTTGGTCTTATGGACAGGGGACCTCATTTTCATTTATACTACAAAATCTACACTTCTTTTCTCAGTGGAAAAGGGATTTAAAGGAGAAGTAAATAAAGATAAGAATAAAGCCCACTGTGCTACTAAAGATAGCAAAGATCTCAGGCAGGGAGTTTCAGTCACAGGACTAGTCGTTCTGAGGAGCGGCTGACCTAGGCTCAGAAAAAGTCGCTGCAGGTGAGGAGGTGTCTGAGTTCAACAAGCGTCAAAGAAAAAGGGAAGAAAAAGAAAAAGAAGACAAGCCCAAGCCTGCTTACAAAGGGGAAGGTGGCATACTGCAGTGATGATCTGGAAGCAGAAGCGTCAGGGAACAGAGGGGGGTTGATGAGATACCAGTGGGCCAGCAGTCATGGGTGCCAACTGGGCAGAAAGGATGGGGACTGCCAGCATGCAGTTGCCATTACAGAAGAATTACAAATCCATTTGATCCAAATTTTATCAGGTCAGTGTTTTCCTTTATGTAGCCACCGCATTTTTGATCTGGTCTTGAATGATAGAACAGCATTCACTGTTGTGGTTAACCACAGTCTTACTGTAAATGGGACTTTGACACTGGCTGGCATTTATCATGCACTGCAGAGCTTCTGTTTACAATACGCGCATCTCAGACTTTGCCAGTGCAAAGTGAAAGATGAAGACTAGAACCTTTACTTATCAGAAAATTAAGTTCAATTTCCACAATTAAATGAATCAAACATTTAAGAATGAAGTAAGAGTAGCTTATTTTCTGCATAGGTGATAGAATTGCTAACCCATGCAATCCAAGGAAAGGATTGCACAATGGGAAGGTAGACCAGAATGCCATCTTTACACCCGTTTAGCTTCTAACTAAATTAAAATTATGCCATTCTCTGCTGTTTCTACAATGTCTTAAATCAAAACATTTGTGAAATTTAAGTGTTGTGGCTAAAAATTTAGAGCTGATCTTACCAATGGACTCATTGAGCCAAGGCCTTAAAACCTGATCAGATTCCTGTAGTCACTAGATTGCTACACAGGAGCAAGAAACTATTCACACATACCTATTTGCATGATTTGCTCTCACCATTTGGGCCAGTGTCACAGATGACAAGTAGCCTGCTTACTCTCTTGTATCCATTCATGAGGAGCAAGTACATTTGGCAATGTCTGTATGGCAATTCTTTCACCAAGCAACAGAACTACAGAATTTCCAGTGATCTTCCTTGCCCAGCTGACATGTGCTTTGTCCTTGTCTTTTATGCGGTAGTGGTATAGCCAATGTATACAATGTGTGCTCTTCACAGTCCCCACATCTGCCCCCTTTCTCCCATCCACTGCAGGACTGTCCAGTTCTTCCCCATGTTTGCAGCAGTCATGGCCACCATGCCACCACTGTCTTCCATAGGCTATACCCCCTTTTTAGATCTTCCAGCTTGCATAGAGATAATATGCTCCGACTGGGCTAGATCTACAGATTTCACTAAGAAAAGGGCCTGAGCTATCCCTATGTCTCCCTCAGTTGTGGTACTAAGACAATCTTCCCTTGTGCCCACCTGCAGATTAGCACAGCATTTGCAGGAATTACGTATTTTTGATAATTTCTTTTCTGAGAAAATAAATCAGAAGATTAGATTAACTTGATCAATGGATTAAAAAATTTAAAAGATTAAACTGACTCACAAACATAAGCCTCATTTTCTTAAGAAACCGAAACCAAATTGAAACTATTAATATACATATATAAATTTAGCAGTTTCCTTTAATTGCTGTGCTACTGACTTTTAGTGGAATGAATTGTAGATTGAAGGAATAATCTGGATTGTTGCTGTTTACTGCCAAAATACAAACTGAAGTTTTACAAATTCTCATGATTTTACTTACTTTATTTCTGCGTGTGTTCATCATATATCAAACAGGCTATGGCTCTATACAACTGTAAAAAGTGGAAGCCTATCCTGTAAGATTGGGAGAATATTTTGCAATTATTATCTCTGGACACATGACTGAGAAAAGTTTTTACAGGTCTCTTTTTAAATGAGTAATTACTGTAAATTCTAAGTTGATGTAGCTAAAAATGTAGAAGATAGTATATTTATGATTTTATTTTACATACTTTAGACAAAGAAATTGTTGTATCAAAGCGTAGAGCAAGGAGCTACTGATCTAATGCACATAGTGCGATCTAAACTTTATCTTACAGACTCAAATACTACGTTTGTGAATCATGTCTGTGCTGCAGGGAGTTACTCTCCTTGGTGAAGGAGAAATTGGTCATGAAGAGGAAGAAAAAGCAGACAATGATTTCTGCTCCAAATATTATATCACAGAAAAGAGAATAAGTTTTAGGATGACTTGATGACTTACCTTGATTGTTGAACATTTGGTGTCCGAGTTACAAATCAGACATTGGGAATAGCCCATAGCGATGCCAAAGATAGGATATTAGCTTTGGAGGGGTGGAGGAAGGGAGGCAGAACTAAGACTGAGGGTAGTCTGTTCTGGAATCTATAGCTAGGAGAGCTATTGTGTAATGACTCTGATGTCAAATGAAAAAATAAACATTTTTCTGAATTAGAGTCCATTGTGGCCATTACCTGAAAAAATATTAGACCTGTAGAACAAGAAAGCAATCTGGAGTAGGAGAAAACAAAAGAGTGATCTGTGCCAATTCTTACAAAATAATTGCCAGCATAGTATTTTTGCCAATGTGAGTAGTGAAAATGGATTATGCAGCATTTCCTTTTATTTGGGCATTTTGTCCTCTAACATCTGCCCAAACCCGCATCTGAAGCACCTCACCTAGTATGTGTACACATCTTATTGCAGTAGCTTTGTAACTTTGCTGTGGCATAGAGGTACCTGCTTTCTGACTAGCTTTGTATTTTACCTTGTTTCTGCTCCTACGAGTGCGTCCCAAACTACAAAGATATTTTGGAGGGAATCCCCCTTGTGTATTGCTCTTTCACTAGGAAGGCTGGATTTCTGGGAGCACATTGGCCCACCGTCAATGTAATAGGCAGATGGTCATCAAACGTCCTGTAGTCTGGCAGTTACAGGATTTGCTCTTAGAGGGGAACTCAGGATAGTGTTGTGACACTGAGCCGTGCCTCTGGCACGTAGGCTACAAAGTTCAGATAGTCTGTTGTAGTCAGCATTTCCTATTCTCTAACTCAAGGTTGCTCATAACACATTTTCAGAGGTCCATGTTCTTGGGATGCACTCACCTCGGGAGCTGTGCGTTGCCTTTCACAAGCACCCCACTCTCCCAGGTAACTGTATGGAAAGAGTAGAAATACAATATCAGTGCCCCGGATCACTCATACAGTGCATAGTTCCTAACTATTGTGTGTGACAGCAGCTAAATTGAAGGTGTCGGAGTGGACCCTAGATATGAATTTCAGCATTTGTTGGTGTTAGGAAGTGGCCAGATGGTTGTTTTCTTTATCAGTAGTTAAACAAAGATTTACTAAACTGAGCATTTTTTTTTAAACAAAGCACTCCTACCACAGATCCCGGAGCAGGGTAACCATTGCAGAACATCTCCATTTGGCAATAAGCTTTTGCAACCACCAGAACATGCCTGCCTATTGTTTGTGGAGATATTGTGAAAGCAGACAGTCAGTGTTGCATGAGCCAGAAAAAAGAATCAGTTATTAGATTGAATTCCAGTTTTACCTTAACAATAGAGTTATTTTATCCCATTTTTCCCAAATTCTACACAATTTTAAAGAAGGGGGCAATGGAGTCCTTAATGCTCAACGTGAGGAATTTTTGTATTTTTTCATACCTCTTTGCAATAGCAGGGCCAAGCTGATGTAGTTAAAGGAACATTGTCGATTCTGAGAGGCACTTTACAAATACAGAAAGATCCGTTTGCCGTCATCATTTTCATCCCCATTGTGCTGGAATATAATGATGTGGTAAATGGTGAGATGTAGTTGCATAATTCTGAAAGTTGGCCTGTATTCCTTCAAAAGGAACAAGAAAGAATAATTCCTCTGAGCAAAATATTCAGACTTTACAATGCTGTATTTTGTTACAGAATCGTTTTCTCTCTCTCTTTTTTTTCTTTTTGTTTCTCCTTTAGATTATTACTAATCAGAAGGTATTTCAGATTAGAGTATTGGTATACTGGACCAATATTTTTTGGGCAGGTGTCTGTTCTCACTGGCACAACAGTAACCAGCATTCAAATAATCAGCTGGTTTGTGAGTTCTCAGAGTCCAAAGAAAGGGAGAAGTAAAAAGCTAAATTCAGGATTAGAATAATTGACAAAATCTCTCTTCAGGTACATGGAGAATTTTGCTTCATCTAGGTTATTCAGTGCAGAACTGAAATGCAGTTCTTTAGAAGTCTTGGGAATTTTAGCATTTTCTTACAAACTTTTTTTTTCATTTTTGAGGGCAAATTTTTTAAAAGTATGTGTCTTGGGGACTGAGTTTTTAGTGCTCATTTGAAAGCTTCCTTGTGTTTTTTGAAGAGTTCCCTCCATGTTTCTGACACTCAGTGAAAAAATAAGGACTTGAAAGTCTTCTCCGATTTGTCAGTTTGGAAGGCATAGCTTTATATTCAATATATTCAAAACTCATTATATTTGAAGGATAGCTTTATATTCAATAGGAGGACACAACTAGAAGGACCCATGGAGCCTACATACAAGACTATTTGTCGTGCCAAAGTCTCCTAGTCTTTCCTTGTCTTCTGGGCAGATGTGCCTTCTCTCCAGCTGAACAGATCATCTGCCAATCAAAGGCTTTTTTTTTTTTTCTCAGTCAACCCATGATAGGATTTGTAGAAGTTCGCTCAATTCAATGACTTCCTGTTAGTGAGAGACTCTAATCTAGGATCTATGGGCCTTGGGGAATGCAAGTTTTGTTTCACTTGCTAAAGTAAGAAAGGAAAAAAAGAGAAAACAAATAAGAAAATTATAATGTACAATCTCCTTTTACTGTAGTCCACATGGAAAATGAGGGGCTGCCCTCATCCATATTTATACCAAAAATGGTTCCTATGTTCAACAGACCACCATGCTACTAATCTCCTTGCATTTTTTTTCCAAAACTCATTCTCGCCCTAGATGAAAGTATATTCCATTTACTAGACATGTGTTGTGAGCTTTTATTTTTTGCTTTTTTTTCTGATAGAACTATGGGATTTAGTAAGTCAGCAAGACTTTTTGTACATTTGGGGATCAGTGTAAAGAAAATGCTATTTCCACTTGGTGCTATTTCAGTGGATTAGGCAGTGCATCAAAACATACATATTAGCTTGACTGGTAATACCTCAAGGTCTCATAGCTCTGTTGGGACTATGATAGCTTCCTTGATGCCACCAGAGATTCTTGTGCATGTTTTTCATCATAGCACTCTTGACGTAAACATCTGATACTCTATATGATAGGAATTCTGCAATCATCTTGTAATTGGCTCATTATCTAGATGGCACTAATGGAAACAGTCTGCTTCAAAAATGAAAAAAAGTTCAAGTACAGTACCACACCAGCAGTGGTATTTCTTACCCTATTTTTTCTCATGCGTCATTCATTTTATTGCGATTGAAAACTACAACTTATGTATAACAAAATATCATTGGTGCTAGCATTTATTTTCCAAAATACTTGAAGTTTCACTGGTGATAGAGGGTAATTAATTTGCTCATGCAGCTTCTTTCCTTCTTTTTATAGAGCTAAGGCTCCATCTGCTACCAGATGTCTTTCTGCCTGACTGAGATGTTCCTGTGGTCTTTGAAGACTAACTTACATATTAGAGGTGAGCTGTTACCTGTTACCAACATGAAACAGAAAAGCTTGTTCATTAATATTATACTGGTATAAAATTCTGAATATCCAAATGAAGTGGATTTTATACTTAGAAGAAAGAAAATTAGGCAGCAGTACAATGTTTTAACTTGGTCAGCTTCTTTGCTTATCTCATCATAGAACTGCAACATCCTTTCAAGTGAAAGATGTTAAGATTTTATTTAATTGGATGCATTTTCCTGTTTAGGAAGGTATGCCCTACTTGACTGTAAGCTTCAGTTTAATGACTAGTTTGGATGAATGAAGATCAATAGTCAAGTGATTTGCAGAGGCATTGTGATTTGTACTTAGCATGAAAATAAAAAATTACTGCATGTTCTGGGTATTTCGCATGATTACTTGAATTTTATACGTACAAGGATATGTTTATCTTATTAATTGATTATTTCAGGAGACGCATGACTAATTACTAGCCATGTAGAAATTACCTTCATTCATCTTGCCTTGCTATTGCTAAAAAATCATATGAATGAATATTCAGTTGAATGTTACTATTCAAATACTGAATCAGTATGTCTTGGTATCCCATCTTTGTGCGAGAACTGTTCTGTAAGATTAATAATATAAAAAATCCAAAAGCTATATTTCATAGCAAAGTCTGATGGCTTATGTAAACATATAGTTGTGATTTATTGTAATTAAAGGTGTCCTGTGGGGGTACTGTGCCTATTTTCTGCCTTTGACCATCTTGCTTCTTCTCTGTGTGTTTATTCATTGCCTACAAACCTAAAATTCTGAGGTAGAAGGGAGGACTGCTGTCTTGTTTTAAAAGCTGCCTGCCATTGCAGTGCCTTCCTACATTCCTCCATGTAAGGAATTTCTCCCCATGGTATATCCCTGTCTGAGTTTAGAAGGAGACAGATGCAGTGTCAAACTAATTATTTTAAGACAATGCTACTTAAAGCCATACTTAGATCCGCTTGGTGGAGCTTGCCGTGGCACACCTAAGTATTTAGCAGTCAGCCACATCAGGAACTAGCTGGTGTGACTTGCAGTCCCAATGTACTTGAAACATCCAAATTTCTTTGCCATGGGAACCAGGTAGGCAATAATACCTATAGATTAAGAACATTGGATCCTTTGAAAAGGCAGCTTTATGGGTTCATGAATCTTAAAAAAATCCTGTTGTCTTTAGCTCAGCTGTGTCAGTCATGAGAAAACAATTTAAGTTATTCTAAGGTACACTTTTCACCATGATCCTTACCTTTCCTTGTGAAAGAACACAAAAGATGCTATGTAGGAAGGCAGTAAAAGTACTTTTGCATGTAGGCAGCTGGAAGAGAATCAGAGTATATGTGAAGGAAATGACAGCTCCAGATAAATGTAGGGACCAGTCACATTCTCCTTCAGCCCATGCTTGCTGGTTCACGGAAGTCTTACTGGCATGTAGATTATACGCTGCAGTTTTTCCATTGTCACTTGTATTTTAACACTTAATGCCCTGCTCCAGCTAGCAAAATTGAGATGCTGAACTTTGCTTGCTAAGTTGTGCTTTGTTTCCAGTGTCCCATCCATAATTAAATGTATTTACATTCACTTGTATAGATGAAGATATTGGGATCCACCAGTACCATGACAAGAAAGAACCAGGTAAAATATAAATAATGATAACTAAAACTAAACAAAACTTCCAAATGTTCTATCTTTGACACTGACTACTCGCTTTGAAAAATTTTGAATTTCTTAATATATGTCTCTGTATTTCTATAGAGTAAGGAAGCACAGAAACAGTTTCTCTCTCCCAAGTTACGTCAGAGTATTTAAAAGCTTTTTATTCCACAGCAGAAAAAAAAATTGGAGAAATATGTACATAAACCCAACCCTTATGTCATTAGAAACCTCAGTGGGATTTTATACTCTGAATTCTTATATTTTACATGATATTTTGTATCCTGCTCAGCCCTCCCGGCTGCTGCAGAATTCCCCAACGCCGCGCTGCCACCATCGCAAGGGACGCGCAGCCCGAGGCACCCGTCGGGTGTTTGCTGGGATCCCAGCAGAGGGCATCGCGAACGCGCAGGAGTGCCAGCCCTGGCCTCCTGCATCCCGGCCTGGTATCTGACATGGCCATTTCAGAGTGAACGATCAATTTTCCTTATCTGATTAATCCTGTTAATCCTAGAAGTTTCACGATGGGCCAAAAGGTCTGTTCGGCTAGAGTTACTTCCTCTCCGCTGGCCGGGGTAGGGTGGAGGCTGGTGCGGGCATCCCAGGGGCCGAGTTTTGCGGATAACACGCCGTCTCCCTGGCTCTGCTGACAGACCGGCTCAGCTTCTCTCCTGGGCTCAGTTGCAGCTCACTTCACTATCTGATGAGATTGGAGGCTCAGGAACGCCAGCCCACCTGTTGGGCTGCATAAGCCTTTCTTTCACTGCAAATTTAAGATATCTGCCTCACGAGGTGAAAACATCAGGGCTGTCTTAATTTTTTGTGAATTTCTGTGTTTTATCAAACTGGATGAATCTTCTGTCTAATATTAGTATTTGCTGACAGCAGCTGTAAGGATTATCATTCATCTTTTCATCCTTTCTTTCCTTTAGCATCACAGATGAAGCATGGTTACTTAGAAGAGAAGCAAAAGTTAGCAGAATGTAAGGACATTTTCTGAGTTTCTTGTTGCAGTAAGCCCAAATTATTAATTTGGATTGGTGATGCCCCTGGAAAAGCACCTCAGACTGCTTCCAATGTAACTTTCTGCATGTGCCATCTAAGGCAGGTGGTCACAGAAAGACACAGCACAAAACAATCGAATAGTTGTAATTATTCCTTCCTGGTATATTTGCAATCTGTTCCTTTCTGCATCGCTAAGCGTGGTAGTGTGTATTGCTTCGCAAATCCATTGTCAAGAGGAATCACAAAAATAATCACAATCCAGGTTTTTCCTTATGAAATTTACCACCAGATAAGCAATAAACATTTTCCCAATCGGCTCTTGAATTGAAATACCAACTGCCTCAAAACTGAAAATTTTAACTAAAATACTTTCAGCCAAACTCAAATTTTGGGTTAATAATCAGCTGCCTTCACAGGATGCTTTTAGCGCTGAAACATTTACACTGTTCCTGCTTTATCTGGTTAAAAGCAATTTCAGTTTATGCTATCACACAGCAGTACTGTGACTGTTAAAGATTTTTATATTAGTACAACTTTTCTTTAGCTCAAGTTTTACAAATCCTGCATAGTCATTGTTGCTCAGAGCATTCGTTAATGTTCAAGTGTTATTACATGACAACTCTGAAAAATCTAAGTCATTTCTAGACAACTGCACAAACTAATATGTATGCTGTAAAAATTGCCTTAACATTTTGTCTTGTCATAATGAAAATTCACGTGGGATTGTGCATGTGTTTGAAAGCAAAATGTGTTCCAGAAGGATGAGTTATTTGCAACAGTGTAAGGTGTGTTTGGAGTGGGTTGAAGCCCCACTGGGGATGGGTATAAAGGTGCATGCAGCCATGTGGTAAACCTACACCCGCTGCGGAGGGTTGTGTGTCAGTCAAAATCAATACAGCTCTGTAAAGGTGGGGAGGTGAGAAAGGGTTATAAGTAGGGAGGAGCTTCATGGATTTACATCCCTTGTGCTCTGTGTAGCATTATCTTGCAGCCGCTGCCTGTCTGAAAAGAGAAGCAGGCACAGCTAAACCCCATTATACAGAAGCCCCAACTGTTGTCTTTTATACGCATGACACGCAAAAGGAACATGAGCTACTGTACCTTGTTGCTGTAAATATAGGGGTCGCCTAGGCACAAAGCACTGCATAGCACATTTCTTAGAAAAGAGGAGCACTGGGCAACTTTATTCACAGCTGCTGATTTGTATATATAGTTTGGTATCTACACAGGCAATTTCCCATTTTGCATATGTGGATAAATATTCCAGTATTTATGAAGGCACCCATTGAAAATGTGATCTTACGTGCCTAATTAATATTATCATAACAGTTCCACCAACACTGGCTTCAGTCCAATAAAATACAAAGAGAAGTTGTATGTTGGTGTGCTCTTTTGTTGATGTATGAAATCCTTCATTTTTTTCACTCTATAGCACTTCCATTGTAAGCTCCTTTTTGCAGGGAGGTTTAAACACAACTGTTAAGTCATTCCGTCTGGAAGCTGGTATACAAACTGACAGCTTAGAGCTCAAAACTTTTCAACAGGTTTCCTTTAAATAGGCTAGATTTTAAAAAGACAATGTGTGCTAGTTGCTCATGGTTTTTATTGTATACTTATGAACAGAAAACTGCTCACTTTTAAATGATGGAATTTCACACGTTATTAAAGCCTGATTCTCAGCCATGAAACAAGCCAATTACTAGCAACTCCAGAGGAAGCTTTGCCTCCTGGTTTCAGGATTAATATATTAGGCCAGAATTTTCACAATAGTTTGCTGAACATTAATAAATTTGTTAAAGGACTGTAGCAGCCATGCAGTTTCTTGTTTGCCTGACTTGGCAGATTCTTCAGACCAAATTTTCAAGAACAAATCCTATAAATAACTATACTCCATAATATAAGTTATGGTGTTCACAATTACCTGTTGTTAATACCTCTATATATGCATATATTCATGCATATATATTTTGCAGGCACGTTAGTGCCTGCTTTTTGAAATTAGGCAATGAAATGCTAGTTCAAGAGAAAAAAACCACTTCTGTTTAGGATTTGATAACTTGAATCAGAGTTAACGTACTGAATGTGAGATGCTTTCTCATTGCAAGTGCTTAGCAGCTGGGTAAGATATTACATCCTGAGAGCTTTTTACCCAATTGCCGTGGTGAAGTCATGGTCAGTGCGGATGTTTCATGCTAACTGTTCCTACGACAGAGCCTTTCCAAAGGATATCATTTGACAATACAAACCAATAGAAACCATAGCCATTTCCTTCCAATTATAGGTAAGTTTTATGTTTGTAACTCCTCAAAATCTGAATTTTGTGTTTCCACAGAAAAGGAAGCCCAACTTGAAGAACTTCTTTTAATTATATATAAATGTATGTTTTTACACACACACACATGCACATATCTGTGCACACACACATATATATATACAGTCACCTCTACATATACACGTTTCTCTATCTTCTTTTTTTTTTTTTTTTACTTTCATTTGCCAGCTCGAGATTATCCTTGGATACTGAAAAACAAGCGACCAGACAAACTACGAGATACACTCAAGGAGGTAGAGGTATGTTTTGGAAAGTTTCGAGTACAGCAACATATAATCCGGTTTTCAAACCTCTTTCAGCAGCTTTAATTTTCATAAAGATCCAACTCTCCCTGTGATGATAAGTGTGCTTTTGTCTGGCAGGCTGTTCTAAAACAGCTGCATCTTTGTGTGGCGTGCTTCATCTCTAAACTTGAAAATCAGAAGTATGTTAACCGATAGTGACAATCTGTACTGCCAACTCCCCTCTCTGTTTTCTGTTGTCCTTTAGGACTTAATGCAAAACAGTCAATGTGTGCTGAGCAAATGGAAGAACAAACATATCTGTCAGGTAAAATGTTTTGACAAGCTCTTGCAATGTTCAGTCAGTGGAGCCGAACAGCCATTCAGTGATTGATGCAATACTGTTAAAATGTTAACTAACACAGAAAATCATTGGGTTTTTCTTAACGTATGGGCTCTTATTACCTAGATTGTGTTTATTTAAATTTCTAACCTGATAGATGCTACAAAACAAAAATCTGGTTTTTATCGACAAGAAAAATTACATTAAAGGGCCCTGATTCTGTGAGATTATTATTATTTGGGGAAACTGAAAGCATCCTGTACCTCAAAATAGCAAGCTAAGGGAGCAATTAAAATATATAGACCGGTCTGGAATCTAGATGTTGTATTACATTTTTACAACTGAATTATTTACATGCCTGTCTCAAATCTTTTTACTTTGTGCTTGTGTAATATGGGAGGGATGCTATAACTCTAAACCAGCTAGATCATTAATCAAATTACAGAACGAAAGATGTTGTGACATGTGGCATGCATGTAGCTGTGTTCTCTGTCTATGTAAGTTCCAGATATTGTATACAAGAAACAGCTTTTCACATCCTCATTATCACAGAACCGTAGGGTAGGTGGGAGATCTGAACATGACACATGCTCTAACTCCTTAATCATGAGCTTGTTCTGAAAACCATGTGTAATGTATTTTACAAGTTTCTGCAGCCTTCATTGTTCATGAAGAGTGTGCATTGTATTTGAAGCTGCTTTGGCATGGGGAATACTTATAAATATTACTAATACTGTTTCTAAAAAGAAATTTTTGTTCTAACATTTATGCTTTTTCAGATTAATAATTTTTTTCTTCTAATTCAAGTAGTTCCAAATGTGTCAGCAGGATAAATATTAAGTATTTGAATATTTTACAGCTGAAATTTCAGAAATGTCTATAAGAATAGCAAAACTTTTAAATACCTGACATGCCAAATAGTATATAATCTATTGTCTGAACTACATTTCCCTATCAGATCTTATCGCTAGTAAATGCATATAATTCATGTACAGATTGCATAGTATAGATCTGTGAAAGTTAATCTTTTAGAACTTATTTAAATATTAATGGTATGCTAATTTAGAGGACTTTTTTTTTTTTTCTATTGTTATTGTTCTGCTTGGGAAAGGAATTTGCTTAAGAAATACTGAGTCAATTAGTCATGAGTTTATTCATCTGCTTCCCAGTTTGCTGTCTCTTCATTTGATTTCCCCGTCCATTCTCCCTCTATCATTTTCCTTCCCCTCCCATCTACCTGCATCCATCCACATTCCTTTACCAATACATACTTTGGAACAGTGCACTTCTTGCCAAAATTTGATTGTTCTGCCTTATAATATAACACCTTTGGTTGACTATCAATTCTGTGTAAAACTCTTTTTTTTTTAAACTTAGCATCCTTTAAATAGTTTCAGGCTTAACTAAACAAAAAGGAGACAAGTACAGTTTTACTTATTTCTTGTACAAGATGGGAAAGGAGAGAGTTGGGGTTTTTTATCTTAGTATATTAGGTATGGCCCTATATTGGATTGAATCATGTAGCTTGATAAATTTGAGTATTTTTAGGGGGTTTTAGATGGGTTGTATAGCCAGAGTATAAATGATAGTATAGCTTATAGCAGAGCCAGAGTTAAAGTTGTAGATAAAAACCATAATCATTTCTCCGTCCTTAAATTCTGCTTTTGGTTTCTCAATCACAAAATAAAATGGGTTTTTTATATAGTAATGGCTGATAACTGAAGTCTCCAATAAGGTTTAGACTGTTCTGCCAAAACAATTGTGTTATTCCATTTTCTGTCTTCCTGAAAATATAAGCTCTCCAACAAATGAAAATAAAACAGAGAAAAAGGAATAATTTGGGAGAGTCTAGAACTGAAAATGTGTCTTCTATCAATTTTTATGTCAAATGGTTTGTTTTTCTGCTGCTCATCTGTCTTTGAGCATTTTGCAGGAATACCTGGACTCTTCCTGTTTGATCCAAATGTTCTGAAGCTTCTGGAAAAGATATTGTATATTTATTTTTTAGTTCTAAGTAAGAGAATAATTAACTCTTTCAGCAGAAAGTGCTTATAACATAATTGTGTGATCTATGTCATAGCACTACTGTATTCACATGCTATTTTGGATGGATACCAGAGCAGTGGAAAAAGAAGAGTCCACGTTAGCATTAACTTTCAAGTGTAATAGAAAGCAACATGTCAGACAAGCAGCACGGAAAGCCTGTAGTGAATTACCCTGACTGTCGCAATTTTCAATGATTTGAGCATATGGTTTAATTATAGTATCTTTTTTCTAGCTCTTTGTTTTTTAGTAGTAGTAGAATGTCAAATGAATTCATTTATAGAAATTAAAATATTTAACTCAACAGCCATCACATTTTTCAATAAATATTCTATCTATTTGAATCTGCCATATCTTTAGCTGAACTGGGAAAGGGGTTGCCTTTGTGTTGTAATAACAATGTGCTAACCAAAAACTTCAATGGCTGTTGTACAAATGGGAAAAAATCTGAAAGGTGATGCAATAACAAGACTTATCATTTAAAAGAGTAGCATGATTTCCCTCAGATTTTGTGAAAAACAAGCCTAGGACAGCTACTAGTGTGCCTTCTGGAACCTAAACATTGTTATTCTAATCCCTCACTGCTTTCTCCAGCACTTCCAGTTTCTAACTAGCCCACAGGCAAAACCTGGGGGCTATAAATTTAAACATGCATCTGCTAAAAATAAGTGTGCTGTCACATTAACCGTTTGTGTGCAAATGACCAATTAGACTTCATGCATATGCCTCAGTGAAAAAATCTAGTTAGTTTGCATGCAGATTATCTTGTCCATTGTAAGAATGTATTTCCCAAAAGTGGCTCTTATATATGAGTTTGCCTAGAACTACTGTAATGATGGCCCAGCTTTCTACCTTTCTTAATGTTTCTTTTTATATAACAAAATTTCTCCTATTACTTTTTTAATACAATTCGTGCATTAGAAGTTTCCTATTTAATTCCTTGTCTGTTGCCAAAAAAAAAAATCCATTGACCTTTATTTTTGCAGTCCTAAGTATACATTCTAGTACTGCTTAGAGCTTCTGAAATAGATGATGTGCCAGTTTGTGTAAACATAACCTAGAATGTACAGGGATTTTTGTCAAGGAGCTTGCTCTCCTATTTAAAAGAGCTTAGTTGAGCCCTAAAGGACTGAGGTCCTTTCTTTAGCTTTGTTCCTACTTGTTCCAATACAATCTGAATGCACACCCTTTCTGTATGGTACTTCTGAACCCCAACTTCGATGACCTGTGACAAGTTGCTGAAATAATCCTGTAATCTTCAGTTAGTTCATGTCAAAGGAAAATAAATAGACCATAAAAGAAGGATGATGGAAAAAAAGCCAAGAAGTCTTTACAATAAGATGCTGCTGTATTGTTTATAATTAGATAAAAAATTTAGTCCTTGGCTTTCCCTGCTGAGGAGTAATAATCTAAGGAATTAATTTTATCAATATTGGTGAGTTTACTCAACTCAGCTCTGGCTGCTTCCCTTCCTCTTGGTCTCCTTCTCCTTTGGAATGCTTTTAAGTGTTGCCACAAAATCATTAAATCAATCCTGTGGAATGATGCCATTGGTTCAGGTTTGGTTTTACAATATCAGGTAGTAAAATTTAATGAGATCTAGCCGAAACATTCGATTTCCAACTTTTTCGTTTTACATTTGCATTATGATGCAGAATTAAACACATGCCAACACTGAATTATTTTATTGTATAAAAGCCAAGCATTAGCTGTGAATCATATCTGTTACCTGCTAGTAAAAAAAAAATATGTATTCTTTGCTAAATTGCTTTGATTTTATTTGACTTGTGTTGCAATTTACATATGTATATGAATGGTTTTTATGTTATCATCACTGACATATTTAGAACTGGATTCTGAATTGAGATGCACAGCAATATTTTCTGACCTGTCTTGTTACATCAGTTACAATGCCCATAAGCAAACTGATTTAGCAAGACATGTGGTGACATACAGTAGGACATCTGATCTCAAAATCAATACATTCTGGCTAGAATACATGAGAAGCTAGTACCCATCACGAGTTACTGAGAGGAACACTGCCCTCTTATTAAATTCTTTTGGTTGCTTTTGATCACAGTCATTAATGTGTTGTGTGGTTTTAGAGATTTGGAGCTAGAAGTACAAATGCATTGATTATTGTGAAACGGTAACGTGTAACAACAATAACTTCATCTGTAATAAGGCATGCAGCAGAGTAATTACAGTAGGGTGGCTAAGAAAGCAATCTGGAATGAAGAGGTGGGGAAAAACCCTGGGAACCTGCTTGAACAAGAAATGCTTTGCAATTCTTTTTTGCATATTCCTTTGTCGGTTGGGCTCTGTAAGGGAAAACTGTTTGCAGCAATATTTTTTACAGGCATATTTTCCTTCTCTTCCAATTTTAATCAGATAGAAGCAAATCCCAGCTTTGCTCTGCAGGTATCTTTTTAGGTAGAAGGGCTGATAAGCAGCTAAGCTGCATGAATGAGGAGTCAAGGGCTAAGGATTCTGAGGATAAAGGAATACACTTAAGTACATGCTTAAGTTCTACTAAAGTCTGTAAGTCATAAGCCTGTACTTAAGTCCTTTGCTTAATGAAAAGTAACTCAAATACATATTGGAGCATTTTGCTATTGGGGAAGGGAGAGGCTAAGTCTTCCCCTGACTATTCTTTGCTCCTTCTTTTGTCTTTCTTGCTCATTGGAGAACTGGTTTTGGCACACAAAGTACATAATTCCTTATATCAAAGTCTTCACATTCAACTCCTCAGCAGCACAGCAGTGTAGAATGACCAGATGCCCAAACATTTACTCAGGCTACATTAAGTACAAAGGGAATGCCTATTCTTCCCATAGGTATGAAGTCATGCTTTCATATTTTGTTTAAGAACAACTTGAGACTGTTAAAGCTGTAGAGATGACTCTTCTGAGTTCTGTTTTTCATATCACAGTAGTTCAGTCTGAAAAATTTGTGATGTGTTTCATTATTGTGA